TTGATTTCTATCTTTGTTATCTAACATAAGTCATAATTTAATAAACATTTCGTAAAATATTTTTGATTCACATCTATCCAATGTTGCAAGTCATTTTTCAATTTAATAATTCAATCTGCAATATCACAATTCACTTTGGAATATTACAAATAAAGTATATTAATCTTTACACAGCACCAGGGCTCGATCCAAGTACCTCTGGCATGTGGGTTAAGCTTGTTAATAACATAGCCATAGCCAGGCCCGCATAACGGAATTGAAATAACATAAAAAGTAACAAATAACATTTGAATGAATGAAATAGTAAAAATATTTAGCACAAAGGTTTACTTGAAAATTAATTCATTGAACAAAACTAAAAATTTTAAACAAATTAGTTTTTGGACATCTTATGTTAAACTTATTTTTTATCTATATTTTTAAGTGAATATTTACTACCTTGCAACACTGATGGTTAAATCCGATACCTTGTAGTTACAGACGCTGAACTACTGAATATACCCTTAAGAAATTGTTTAGAACTCTTCTTTTTTATACCATATTTTCAGATATAACTTCTTGGTCGGCGGTGACGGATACATATATGAAGGTCGAGGTTGGGGCAAAGAAGGGGCATATGCAAAGGGTTATAATAAAAAAAGTGTTGGAATAGGTTTTATAGGTATATATTTTTTGTAATTTTTAATTTAGGATTTTAATTTTATTTGGCCTCGCTTACTCTGAGTCATCTACAATGTCTTATTTTATTATATACTATTTTTTATATTATATTCAATCTTATACATCCTATTCTATATTTTCATTCTTATTTTTTTTCTTCAAACCAGATATTTCAATGACTTTCAATTATTTTCTTCAATTTTGACTTTTTCATTCTTAATTCTATTCAACTCCTATCTTCCTTTCCATTTTATTTCTTCATTCTTCTTAATCTCAGAGTTCTTTTTTTTTTTCTTCTTCTTCTTCTGATACAACTCAGCTATTCAAATTCTGTAATTTCTATTCTTACTCCTAATTTTTATTTAAATTCTACTTGACAAATCCAATTCTATTTAATTTCAAATTAACTCTATATATATTTTTTCTTAAATTCTAAGTCAATGACAGGATTCGATCTAAAGCTTCCACGTGAGTCGAACACGCTACTAATTGAGCTATGCTCGCCACAATTTTGGATTTATAATCCATATTAATCAAGATTTATTATGTTAAAATATAGGTAAATATCACGATACGTATCCTTACTATGACACACCAACTCCGGATCAAGTTCGCTGTACGCAAAACTTGCTGGAAGAAGGCGTCAAATTGGGATGGCTTGCAAGTAATTATAGCCTTGTAGGATACTGTGATCTCCTTGTCGGGATACCACCTGGAAATGTTCTACTTAAAGAGATCAGGACTTGGCCACATTATAGGAAAGAAGGAAACCCTGGAACATGTGTTTAATAGGCAATCAAGCACATTTATAAAATACAATTGTAAATACTAGTTAATTAATGAACATTAATTTTAAAATACACTTTATTACAAGGTAATAATTGTTTAGTAAATATCATTTATTTAAAATATAGCTTCAAAAACCGAGACATTGTTTTATTTTTTATCTGTTCTTTCAGTGAAACGACACTTTCTATATTATTGTTATATACGGAATATCGTGTGGGTAAATTTTTGCCATCATGAATTTAAAATTAGCTATTTAAAAAGTACATTAGTGAAGTCTTAGTTGTATTTTTACTATTACAAGTATGTTCTCTGAGATGTGGCAAAAAATGAAAAGCAACGAATGGTGTGCAAATCTTTAAAATTTAAAAAAAAATCACAATTGTTAATTACGATGAATTTATCCCAGCAATTTTCATTAAGACTTTTTAATGGAAACGAAAACCACAAAATACCAAATAGTTTCTAAAATTTCAGAAATAACATATATTAGTTGGCAATTACGAAGCAACTCTGAATTTTGAAAGAATTTGAAAAATCGCAATATTAAATTCGTATGTAAAAATATGTAAGCCTATAATGATAATTATAAAATCATTCCAAATTTCATTAGTATAATAAGATAACCACTTTAACGACGGACGTAAGAATGAAAGTGCAATTAACTTGTTGAAAAATTCAAGCCACTTTCAATAGCTTTTTGAAATCTACATTTTATCAATTCAAATGCTTATTAAGTACTCATTATTATTTATTTCTGTTTATAATTTTTATTGAAGGATTCCCCTTTTTGATGATAGCATTAAAATTTAACATAATTTTAGTTCTTATAGTTTTTTTAATTTATTATCTTGAAGAATGTAAGTGATTATATACAAACATACATACAAATACATACATATGTATTTATATTCTTCCTAATATATGTATGTATGCATATATGTATATACATATATACATACATACATACACATATAACCAGTGTGCATAAATTTAGATGATCACCAAGAGAACAAATTAAATTGTACAATATTAATTACAATTTATTGCAGACATATTGAAAGCTTACAAGCTTTAGTCATAATGGGACATTACCTATTTCCTATTTTAATAGTTCTGATGGCTATTGCAGTAAGCAGTCATCAGACACTTGATAATGGTAAGTTCTTCGCAAAAAGGTATTGGCCATATCAAATTAATAATAAAAACAAGCCATAGCTTTATTACTTTTTGCATTAACAAAATATAAGTACACAACTATTCTCACTATTTTCAGAATTGCAGAACTGTGTAATACCTCGAAGTGCTTGGACCTCAGCTCCCTTGAATTCAGAGGTAGAAGATTTAGAGGGCGAAGCACCTTTGGCTATAATATTGCATACAGTATCACAATCTTGCAAAAATTCGCAAGAATGCAAGGAAGTAGTCAAATCAATTCGCAATTATCATGTTGATGTTTTAGGATTTGATGATATAGGGTAAGACATTAATGATATTCTTGATAGTAGTTAAATTTAGTAACTTAATGATTATAATAAAAATAGAATCACATTTAGAAAAAAAACACTCATTGTTGCCTTTCAATAATTTTTCATCACAACTAGATTAAAACAATCAATAGTTGCTTCATAATAAGCCATTAGTAGCATAAAATATTATATGCATCATTACACAACTTTAAAATTCCAAAAAAATCTAAGAGCTGCTATAAATATAGAAGACATTTTCAGTCAATCTATTGAACTTGAAAAAAAATTTAGTATTATTTTATGAACTGGTATGAAAAAGATTGATGCAATAAAAACTACTATTATTTTTAGAAGATAATATATTAAGTTTTTTATGTTTAATATTTCATATATTTTCAGATATAATTTCTTGGTGGGCGGCGATGGACTCATATATGAAGGAAGAGGTTGGGGTAAAAGAGGAGCTCACACTTTTGGATTCAATAGCCAAAGCGTCGGAATAGCATTTATAGGTATAATAAAATTATTTGCCCATTAAGCAATAAATCCTAAGATATATTATATATCGATTTAACTAAGTTGTTAGTGTAATGGTTCATGCAATATGTCGTAGCTATATTGATGAGAAAAATTGGTTGAAATCATTTTGTCGGGGCATTTAAAAAAGCACACGTTTAAATTCTGATATATTTACCTCTATAGTACTGTTTTATATAAAATATGCTTCTAATAAAATTTTTGAAAAATAATTCATATGCGTGAGGATAGAATAGTAGTTACTGATAAATCAATATTATTAATGCAAACTTTGTTATCAAATTTTTGAAAAAATAATTTTGAAAAATAATTCATTTGCGCGTGGGATAAATAGTAGTTACTAATGATTCTATATGTGAACTTTGTTATCAAAACTGAATATATTATTTTAAACTAAGGATTTTGCCCAATGCTTTAATATTTTCTGCATAAATTCTTTATCTATTAACCTGAATATTTCTTTTATTCAGGTAAATATCATGACACGTTCCCCATTCACGATTCGCCAACTAGCCACCAGGTAAGTTGTACTAAACGGTTACTGGTGGAAGGTGTAACATCAGGATGGCTTGCAAGCAATTATAGCTTGGTTGGATATTGTGATCTCATGTCAGGAATTCCACCAGGAAATATTCTAGTACAAGAGATAAGAAAGTGGCCACATTACAGAAAAGAAGGAAATCCTGGAATTTGTAAATGAAAATTTATTTGATTTTTATATTCGAAAACGATTTGAAAAAATAGAAAAAAACTGATCTATACTATGTAGATACAGTAAACAATAAAAGATGCATAAGTAAAAAATCTTTCTTGTTAACTTACCGTAGGGCAAGTTATAGGGGGAAGTCCCGCAACGCCGGTCGGCACCAAGCACCGGACACTCTATTTAACACTCATTAATTAAGCGTGTATAAATCTTTTTATTTCAAAATACAAGTGAAAGGGGCATGGGGGCACACTGGTACAAGATCACGCGCCAAGCCTCGCCTGTGACGCACACGGCCATAGTGAGAGCAACTCTTTCCTGTTTTAGGCGCAAAATTACGGCGTCACCTAAATATCAATGGAAGTAATTCTATTAATATTTATGCATTTACATTTGAGTGGTATGAAAAGATAAAAGTTGTACTTAATTGTTATCCGTAAAATGGTAGAATATTGTTAGATCTTTTAACCAATTTTAGTAGGTGCCACCAAATGAACGAAAATGTCTGTCCCATCTTGATAATAGAAAAACGGTAACTTAGTTTTTAAGAGAACGGAGTGTCTGATTTTAATTATTCTTATTTTACGATTTTTTACTTTAAGATGAAGAACTGATTAAATGTTTGAGAAGGCAGGTCTAGCGGTTTCCGAGATCTATATCTTTCTATCTAATTATAAGATATTTTATAGAGATTTTAATAGTTATATTATCAATTTTGTTTACATTTCTATGGGTTCCGTAACATCGTTTGTGCGTTAGACCGCGACGCGGCGCTTACGCGCTTCGATATGTCATCTCTATGCAGGTAAAGCAGTGCGATTGCTTTGAAAAAAAAAGTTCAATATTTCCAAAATATTTAAAAAAAATAAGTTTTATTTTTCAAGTCATTTTTTTCAAAAATTTAAAATTCCTCAAAAATCAATGATTAAAAAAGGAAATTTAATTTAAAAAAAAAATTGGTACTGGCAGTTCCAGAAATTTGCCTTAATGCACGATGCCATACACACTATTATTCTTTTCTGCGTTGATTGAAACAAAATATCATTTTTTATTTATGTGACTTTTTGTGCAAAATATTATGCAATTCAAGTCAAATTCGAAAACATAAATTAGTTTTCACATATGCGGCATTAGTTATTTTTAAATTGCTAATGGTGGTCATATTTCAATACGACATAAATTCACAATGGGGTGTATCTCCGAGCGCATGCGTATTCCGGAATCAATACAGTTTTGTCTTCAATTTATATCATTGTAAAACTGTACATCATAAAGACATGAAATGACCAGAAAATATTAAAATGACCAAACAATAAAGAATAAAGAATGTTAACCATTGAAGACTAAAAATTCTGTGATGTAAAATAGAAGTGATTAATGTATTTTTGTTGTCTGTTTGATTATATAGTTTATTAAATATTTATCAACATGGGTTCTGTGAATGGCGACGCCGACAGTTTAAATACGGCATATGTCCAACTGAAAACTCATAGAAGGAAGCACAATAATAGTGGACAAAATTGCTTTCGAGATGCAAATATTACACCGCCAGTTGATAAGCACAATGGCATATACTTCGCATTGGTCTTGGCGGGTGTTGGGTTTTTATTGCCCTATAATAGGTACGAAAACAGTTGGTAATAGGATCAAAAATATATGAATTAGATGAAGAATAAAATTATTGTTAATAATATACATAATATAGTTACATAGATTGAAAGAAAACTGCTTAAATTTTGCTGAAAAGTTATAAGTTCCCTTGATTTATTAATTATAGTTTTATAAAAAAATGATAAAAGCGTCAAAAGATAAATACATCGGAGAGTATGGATGACTGATATTATTTATGATCTTATTTTTCTGAACATTAATCCTTCTTTTTTTTTTAAAAAAATATTTATATAATTTTCCTTATATAAATATTTTCCACGTTTCGAGAATAAGGGATCTCCCGATCTACAAGAAATTGAGGTATGCAGTGGTACTTCAACATACGAGTTCAATTCGTCCCGTAACCACGCTCGTATGTCGAAGCACTTTTTTCATATAAATACATTAAAATGCTATTAATTCGTTCCAACACTGTGGTTTCTGTTAAGTTTTTTGAATAATAAAAATAAATTTACTATATATTAATTAAATTATTGTTTTTCCCTGTCCAGACATGATATTGCGAAAATGAGTTAGACATGTTTCGTTGAACAAATCTCATGTTCGAACTGTCGCAACTTTTTCAGAGCGATTTTTACCCACAAACTTTTAAAGCTCAGAAAGCTGCTTATAAATTATTGTAAGGCTCTAAGCTGGATTTATACCCTTTATCAACTCCAGTTTGAACACAGTCCATATCTGTGGTGGTACATCCTCGTCATCCTCATATTTTTCAATAATTTCACATTTTAATTCAAGATACATGGCACTTTCCTTGAACCCACGTTTGTAAAAGTGCATAATATTTTGTAAATGTACAAAAACCAAAAGAAGCGAACTCAACATATATAACCGTACAATCACTATTAATGTATAGTTTCAAATGTTAAAAATAATCCTTGATATATTCGCGTAGTTACTACACAATTAATATGAATATATAATAAATTTATCGTAAAACAGCCAAAATATTTCTTATAGTAAAAAATCATTGCTACATCTGATGAAATTTTTCATATTTTCATTATGAGGTTAACGATCTTTTAAAAAATTCTTACTCGCTCAAAGCTCGTATCTCAAAGCAACGAATCTGTCTTTTGGCGGCTCATATCTCGAAACACTCTTAAGTCGGGTCACTCGTAAGACGAGTTACCACTGTATCTAATTTAATTAAATTTTACTTATCTAATTTTACGAAAGAGTCTTTATATCTCAGATATGTATCTGTATGTTGATTCTAAAATTTGATAAAATTTGCTTGTTTTATGCTATATGAGTATATTTGCACAATTGCGATCTTACCGAACATATGCAGTTATATTAATAACATAAAAAATTATAATTTTGATAATAATATAAAATGTAGATTATAAAATCACGTATGCTATTAATTTTATTATTAGTTCTCCGTCTTGATTATTAACAATGAAAACAAAATTACATCACTCAGCCAATAATATAAATATGCAGTACCAAACAAAATTAGATAATCATAAATAATCGAATTTTTATTTTAAGTATATACAATAATTGCTTTTGTTAGAATAATTATTAAACTATTATTTATTCTTTATTCGATTATGTTTCTGTTACGATATAAGACTGATATTCATTAGATAATAGCCAACATAGACAGATAATCAATAATAAAATGTGAGACCAACTAGAGGAATAGAAATATAATAAGATTTTTTTATTTCAGTTTTATTATGGCGGCTGATTATTTTTCTGCTCGATATCCGGACAGTACAGTAGTTTTTGATATGTCAATAGTGTATATAGTTGTAGCATTTTGTGCGGTGCTAGTTAACAATATTTTAGTGGAAACGTGCTCTCTCAATACGAGGATTACTTTCGGTAAGTTGGATAAAATTTAGTATAAACAACTATTTGCTAGAGCTTAAATGTTTTGAATCAATGCAATAAACTTTAATTGATAAATGATAGAGTAGTAGAAAATATCAACTTAAAATAAGCGCCAATGCGCTCATTCTCATATGTCATCATATTTAATAAGTTTTGTGAAAAACAATGTATAGTTGTAGTTTTTGGACTTAATGATTGTGTATGAGATTATCAATCGAATATTTGAGAAAACTTAATTGATTGCAATAGTATGATAATACAGGCATTACACAAATTTCTAATTTTTCAAATGGTGGAGTATCTATAATGTTTTTTCTATTAAGGGTACATCCTCTCACTGCTGACATTGTTATTTGTGGCATTTTGTGAGATCGGTTGGGAAGTCTTCAGCGAATCAATGTCATATGCTGTCAATCTATCAGCAGTGGCAATTGTTGCAGTGGGTTGCACAGTGCAACAAAGTAGTCTTTATGGATTCACCAGCATGCTACCCAGTCGCTATACACAGGCAGTCATGGCTGGTGAAAGTAAGTTATATTTAGAGTTATAGATACATATTGGATTTTAAAAACAAATTGCTTAAAGATGGCCATAATATATCTGTTTTGTTATTGCTGTTTGAAGAGTAACACCGCGGAAGTACTTAGACATACTATACAACGATCTACTCCATCCCAGTAGAGAAAATATAGTACTAACAATAAAATAACCATTCCATTCAATCCGTAAAACTTCCCGTTTCGAGAAATGGCTGAAGGATTATATTTTTAGACATTCAATTTTCAATTTTTATTTTCGTGGCTCGTATCCTTATGTAGCTTTAAGCAAAGTTTACTATACACATTAGTGTTACACTCTCAAGTATATGTAAAATAGCAAATCGATGGCACATGCAATGGTCATCATTAGTATAACGACGCGTCATCGACTTAAATTCGCTCGAAGACTTCATTATTATATTTCAATTTCTAATTTATACAAAATTAAAGTATTCAATTCGATAAAATATTATGAATTATATCGATTACAGGTGCAGCAGGATTTTGGGTGTCGCTGAACAGAATTTTCACTAAGCTGCTGTTGTCAGATGAACGTCAAAATACAATAATATTCTTTCTTCTTTCTATAATGTTAGTTGGCATCAGTTGCTTATTATATCAAGTGATAAAAGACACGGCTTTTGTTAATTTTTATATAAGTCTATGTCAAGAGAGATCAAGAATCGTTTTGGAGCCGAATGAGGACATGGGACTGGTAAGAAATATAAAAGTTATTCCATTTTAATTCAAAAACTAAATATATTTTCATATTTGAATTGGAAAACCTTTTTGGTTATGGTGTTTGTATAACAAAAATGAATTAAAAAAAAATAAATCATGAAATTAATGATTCCTACAATTCCTTTGTAGATGGAAAACGGCGATCAAGATCACATACGTTATGGAGTCCTAAAAATCCAAACAAGCCCTCCACCAGTATCGACAGCTGCTGGTGTGAGTCAAAGTGAAGATGCA